ATTTCTTGATATCAGCCACTTCTTCTAATTGTCTATAGTACATGCCGTGCAGCAGCTTGTCCCTCCATGAAGGTTCTTCGTCTTCCTTGTCCTTCCTTCGGGTTTCTGCTGCTGAGGTATTCACTAAGCCCTTAATCTTTGGGGGCCATCTTCTTGATGTACTACTGGATCTTCGTCGTTTCATCCTGGACAGTGGTCTTGACACTTTCTAGCCCTCTGCCTCCCACGCTACGCTTAGTGTACAGTCTCTGGATTTGGGGTGAAACCCTCCATGCATTTTGAAGAGCTTTCTCGTCTTGATGTCAGTGGCCTCTATCTCCTCCTTTGGCCAGTTTATTATACCAGAGGGGTATCTGATGACTGGCAGGACGTATGTGTTGATGACTCGGATCTTGCTTTTCCCATTCAGCTGACTTTTCAGGACCTGCCTTACTTTCCGTAGGTATTTGGCTGTGGCGGACTTCCTTGCTGCCTCCTCATGGTTTCCGTTAGCCTGCAGCACCCCAAGGTATTTGTAGCTGTCCTGAACATCTGCAATGTGGCCTTCTGTTAGTTTAGCCTCCTCGGTTCTGATCATTTTCCCTCTTTTCGATACCACGCGACCACACTTGTCCAGTCTGAACGACATTCCACTGTCGTTGCTGTAGATCCTGGTAGTGTGGATCAGTGAGTGGATGTCTTGCTCATTTCTGGCATACAGCTTGATGTCATCCATGTAGAGGAGGTGACTGATGGTTGTTCCACTTCGGAACCGGTATCCATAGCCAGTCTTTGTGATGATCTGGCTGAGGGGGCTCAGGCCTATGCAGAACAGCAGCGGGGATAGTGCATCACCTTGATATATGCTGCACTTGATGGCGACTTGTGCAATTGGCTTTGAGTTGTGTGTGTGTGTGTGTGTGTGTGTGTGTGTGTGTATATATATTCACACCTTTGTAATAATTACCCTATTTATTTAATGTCCGCTATAATTTTCAACTTTATTGATTACTTATTTTTTTAATGTATTATTTAGATGCGTTTTAATATTTTTGATTGTTTTATTCTTCCTTTGCATTTCTACCCTTTTTATTTTCACAATGGTTATATATTTCTGCCTCCTCTTTTTACATTTCTCTATGCTTTTTTGCCTCATTATGCAAATGAGGAGGGGCTGTGTCTCAAGGAGTCAACTTCTCGCCAATTGGTGGATCAGTCAGACAACAGAGGTCGACTAAATTTACACATCAACAAGCCTTGCTCCCCACACAGTCACAAAAGATGGCTTCCTTTAGTGAACTGAAGTGATTAGCAACTCTATCTGAGGACAATTCTAACTACATTTTCGTGTGGACGCCCTGACAGATTTTTCAGTTTGCTGCATGCACGGACACATAACGGTGGGAAAGTGAGCCGTTGTTTGTGAGAAGCACACGGTCAGCTAGTAGCAGCTAAATCTGGAGTGCACTCGTATTCGACTATGTATGGTAAATTCAGATTTAACGGAGCAGAGCGAGCTGACAGGCAGATTAGAGACTTTATTTTTAGTTTTCTCTCTTTACAAAGACAAGTATTGCAGACTGAGCGTTTCATCTGAAGAGAGGCTATGAAATCTCAATAGTACGCAATGCAAGCACCATAGACCACATAATTTATCAAATTACGCCGGACTTTGTGAATTAGCACAAAGATAAACGTCACAATGTCCGGTTTTCAAAATAAGGTTTTAACAAACGTATATACAGTATGAAAATAAGATTAACTGGATTATAGTCACAGAAAGTATAAAATTTATGTGTCTATTAAAATTGAAATAACACTAAAATGTGGAAATTACTCAGATTGAAGTACTGCAGTTGTACATTGAAATACCTTCCTTTCTGACTGGAAATCTTCTTAAGGTGCTATAAAACACATCTCCTTGAATTCTGATTTAAGTTATGGACAAAGTTATTGAATTAAAAAAACACTGCCCAAGTCAGCTATAACACAAGGATTGTTCATTATGCAGCATAATGTACAGTATTTGTGGACAGTTAATCCTGGAGTTCATTGACAGTGTCAACAATGAATGAACATTGAATAGTGATCATCAACAGATGGGTTGCCATCCATCAGTTCACCCTCAAGTACACCTTTGGATGTAAAGGCAAATACTTTAGCATTAATGAAAACTAAACTGACTCTCACAATCATTTAAATACAGCTAATCCAGAATAAAGAACAGTGGCACTGAAAATGTGCAATTAATAAAACTATTTATACAACAAATACAACTGTTTGATCATGTTCTCTCTTTTTGGTTTGCAATTTGCAAGTATTAAACTAAAAATGCTGGGTACCTACAGTTAACAGTGCTGGTAAACAGAGCTGAGCAGTTGACATCAATGACATCATCTGGCAGCTATCAATTCATTATAGTGTTTATATCTGTTGTCTCCCCAACTGCTTGAAAGCCCCTGGTCTGGAAGCTGAACAGAACTGAGCACGGCAAGGACACATGACTACACACCATGTAGAATGTTATTACAGTAAGTAGAAAGTACATTAACACATATATTGGGGGAAATATTGATAGGATTAAAAAAACTAAACAACTGACATGGTGAAATTAAGTCAGTTACAGGCTCTGAATTTATCTTTCGATTACTTTTCAATTAATGGTCCAGCCCTACTTCCATGTGCATTTACCAGCCCACTGAGTGAAGATGAACTATACTACCCAGACACAGGTGTTTAAAAATTACCACCCAATCATAAACATACTACCCCTTTGTTGTCAACATCCATTGCGGTCCACTTCCGTTGTGTTTATTTCCGTTGTGGCTTTTGTTTTACCAAAAATTATAAACATTAATTTACTTTAATGACTAACAGCAGAAGTATTTGTGACTGCAGACTAAATTTACTACAAGAAACATGAAAATATGAACAAAAGTGCATTTACAACTTTATGGATGGAAGTTTTGTATGAACAGAAATTAGGTTAGTTTGTTAGTAAAATATATCAGATCTATAATAGTGACAGAGAGTCAGTGAACTGACCTCAGAGTCTCCAGTCTACAGTGAGGACTCTCCAGAAAACCACACAGCAGCTTCACTCCTGAATCCTGCAGCTCGTTGACACTCAGCTGTAGGTTTCTCAGATGTGAGGGGTTGGACTTCAGAGCTGAGGCCAGAGAAGCACAGCTGATCTCTGATAAACAGCAGCTCCTCAATCTGAATAAAGAATAAATGATGTAACTTTAGAAGACAATGTTCCTGCTTGAAATCATTCAGCATTTAATAATCTGTTCAGAGCTGAAGAAGGTTTAGCATGTAGAAGTTTAGAAAATGGAAACTCCAAACACCTAAACCCAACAGGATGCAGGTTCAAACTGTAAATTACAAAAAGGTAAAAAAGAGCTCTCATTAATATTAATGACAACGTGCTGCAATAAAGACGTAGTGACTTCACCTCTTAAACTCTGCAGCTCCACCAGTGGCTCCATCTATACAAACTCATGATGTGCAGCCAAACACAAAGAAAAACCCACAGGAACTGATTTAAGATTTGACTCAAGATCCCAAACTTCCCAAAGATGCCAAATATGTCAGGTTTGATTTTGGGGAAATATGAACAAAATTCTACAATCTACAATATTTCTTTTAGGAATAGTGAAGTCATCAAATTATCAATTAAACCACTGAAGAAGAAAATAGACTTTAGCATTAAGATACTCATTGTGGATCAGTATAATATCAGCCATATGTCTGCAGTTTAGTGTCACCACAACTTTCATATCATATTAATCTCAGCAAAAGAAGGAAAAAATGGTGTCTGACCTCAGAGTCTCTAGTCTACAGTGTGGACTCTCCAGTCCAGCAGACAGCAGTTTCACTCCTGAATCCTGTAGCTTGTTGTTACTCAGCTCCAGCTCTCTCAGATGGGAGGGGTTGGACTTCAGAGCTGAGGCCAGAGAAGCACAGCTGATCTTTGACAAATTGCAGCGACTCAATCTGAAGAAAGAATAAATGATGGAGATAAAAATCCATTTCTAATCCAATCAGATGTGTTCAGGTTTTAAAAGTGGAGCACAACATTACTATGTCCTAATCAATGAGCTTTTCCCTAAAATGAGTAGAGGGACTTCATCATAATGTCAGCCTTCTACAGACATCATCCAAATGTCAGCACAACATTCATACACCTATTCATGTCATATCAATCAATAACATGCTGCTGATCTCAAACCAGTATGGAATAATTATCAAATCAGACATGTTGTTACTTTAATTTTTTTCTGTTTCTTCTAATTCATATCAATCAAGTGTCATTTTATAAATATTATGTATTATTTATGCTCCTGTTTACTTGTTGAGTCAGAACACAAAGTGACATAATTTTGACAGGAAGCATTATCAAATGTTGAAATGTCAGTTCTCGGTGCAGGGCTGAGCTGATTCATCCACGTAATTAATTGATTTGTTGATATGCATAATGTGCGTCCGGTTAAAGCAGTGATTCTCCCCGAGAACAAGCTGCAGCAAATAAAACACCTATGACCATCTACAGTTTGGGAGTATTTTAGACATGAACCCAACAATATGTTGCTCTGTGAGCTCTGCAAACTGAAAATGGCTTCACTGCAGCACAACTGCTGAGCACGAACACGTAAAGTGAAACATGTGATGACCTGCATGTCATCATTCTGTCGCTAGTTGTCAAGTTGGTGTAGATAACTGTTTTTTCCCCCCATGAACCCACTACGTTACTAGCTTGTTTGGTAGCTTAAGTTACCCACTACAGCTAGAGATGCACCGATTGATCGGCTGGGGACTGAAATAGGCCGTTTTTCAGCGTAGTCGGCCATGACCAGGGACTGGGGCCAAGCAGCACCAAATATTGAATTTCCTGCCAGTCATATTGAATGCTACAAACTTGTTTGACAGTAACCTCATGTCACAGCCACACACACAAGCTAAAACATGTCTTAGGTGAGTGGAAGTTATTCACTAGAGTGAAGAAGACTAAACGATCACTATTTACATCTGCAGAGAAACACACAGAAGTATCACATTAGAAGACAACAATGGATATTGTAAAGCACAGACCAGGTAAATCAACAGTAAACACAGCTGTTGGTGGTGATGTCATTCATACCACAGTGGTCCCAATGTTTATACTGGTGCTGATGGGGAACCTAATAAAAAATCGGAATTGGCCAAAATCAGAGTCGGCAGGTCAGCCAGGAAAAGTTTATCAGTGGATCTCTTACTACAGCTAACACGGTGATAAGTTGGTGTGTGAACTGATATTAGGTTAATACCGTGATCTAGCGTTGTGTTGGGTTGGGTTTTGTGCATTTTGATGTCAAGTGGCAGATTAATTGGCTTGCTGCGGTTAAAATCTAAGACACACCTCTGTCCCAGTTGAAACCTGAAATACTATGTAGAGGACGCAAGTTAATTAGGATATGACTGCGTGGTGAACCTATGAACCTAAGTCATATTTAAACAACTATAGCTTTGTGTTGTTGGCCAGAAAAATATTAAGACTTCCCTCTTTGTACACGTATCCTATACAAGTACAATTGGCTGACGTAATTGCTGATGTAATCTGCACTCTGCGCATGCGTTGGGGTCTGTAGCCACCTGTCGGAAGCTCCGTCTTAAACTGGACTCTTTTCCAGTTTTAATCCACTCTTTTTCGTTACATTTTTTATATCCTTTTTATTTAACTTAAGTTTTTAACTTAAGTTTTACGTGGGTTAAGGATTTTAGTCATCCGACATGGATTTTAAGCTAGATGACTGTAAAAACGCGATCAACGCTACTGATCGCAACAAAGCTCCGGTGACTATGCTAGCCGAGATAACTCTGCCCCATGAGGACTGCACACTCCTTAAGAAAGCGAACAAGATTGCTGACCTTATGGAAGACATCAGACGACTTTCAGAGGAACTCAAAGAGAAAGATTCCCTGCTGACTGGCTTTATGGATGTGGCTTCAGTTCAAGCCAAAGAGATTGTTTCTCTTAGTGCAACCGCTAACATCCAGGACACCGTGTTATGGGACCCCTCTAGCCTTGCGAGGCTTTCCTCCTGCTCGACTCCGAAGCATCAGTCAACCTGGGCTGAAGTCGTGGTCCGTGGCTCCAAGAGAGGCTCGGATGGGGCTGCCTCTCCTCCGTCCATCGGCCTCTCCAACCGCTATGCAGCCCTGACGACACTCCGGTCCAACCAGCGGATGCACCTGCGGCTTCGAGTCTCCCGATCTCTTTCGGCGCACAGTGTCTGCCGACACTGTTGCATCTCCTCCACCGGCTACATCTCCTGCACTGGGCCGCCGGTCTGCCACTGGGCCTGATCGGCGGCCGTCATCCCGGTCAAAAACCTCCGCTTCCCGACGTAGGATCCTAAAGGAGGCTGTGCTCAGACACTCCGGAGGCCGTCTCTACCCTGCACCGGCGGGTAGCCCTTCTCTCAGGTCTGTTATTGCTACTCCAACACAACACTCGGCAGCTCACACACTCCATCCTCAGTCCGCACGCAGTGTTGAAGCAGATTCTGCTCAGTCCTGCTCTGGAACCCCACAACCGGCATCTCCTCGTCCTCTTTTCTCCCCAACCACACTAATAATTGGTGACTCCATAACCAGAAACCTCCGTTTCTTTAACGCTACCACTCACTGCTTCCCACGGTGACATTTAAAAAAAAAACTCCAGGACCTAATGCCATCGCTCCCGTCCTCCATCACAAGAGTGATAGTCCATGTCGGAACAAATGACACAGTTCTTCAGCAGTCTGAGATGACAAAATCAGATTTTAACCGTCTTTTTAACTTTTTAAAGCAGTGTGGAAAGTCCGTTTTTATCTCTGGTCCCATTCCCACAGGTGGTTGCGGTGCTGGCCGCTTCAGTAGACTCCTTGGCCTCCACGACTGGCTCCAGTCCGCACGCAGGGCTCATCGTGTGTGTTATGTGGATAATTTTAATATTTTCTGGCAAAGAATGCCTCTTTTTAAGACAGACAGACTTCACCCAAACAAACGGGGCTCAGAAATGTTAGCTGCGCACATACAGCATGTGGTGCGGTCCACACATGACTTACGTGAATGACTAATCATTCATGCAGCACACCTGGACACACCACCGCTCACTGAACAGATCTCTGCCTCACTGATTTTATTTTGTCTGCAAATCTAGATTTTATGTTTTTAACTGAATCCTGGTTGCAGATGAATGACTATAGCCAGCTATCTGAACTGTGTCCGCCTCAATATGATTGTTTTAGTCAACCGAGGGTCAGTGGTCGTTGTTGGTGGGTTAGTGAGCGTGTATAGGAAATATTTTAAATGTCATCAAGTACGCTGTGATGAATTTAACTCCTTTGAAGTTCTCACTCTTAAACTTGGAGGGCTGCAACCTATCATATTTATTATAATTTATCACCTAACAGAACTTCCTGAATTTTTATCTACTCTGGTTTTAAATTATGACAGAATTGTTCTTTGTGGCGATTTTAATATTCATGTTGATGACCCCAACAATGTTAATGCAACTGACTTTTTAAATATGGCCACTTCTTTTAACTTTTTTTCTCCTTTTTTTTCTTCTCTTGTTTTTTTTTTTTTCCCCCTATCTCTTTTTTTTTTTTTTCCTGGGTTTTTTGAAAAGCCCCGGATCTCTGAAGGATTTTTAAAAGACAAACAGCAAAAGGCTGAAAATTTAACTTTAAACTTTACTCGCTTCACTAACGTTATCTGAGAGAGAGATTATTATTATTATTTATTCTCCTGCACATTAGGGAGAATAAGATGATCCAGCTGTAGCTGTGAGCTGCACTTTATCAGAGGCGCTGAAATGAACCTGTGTGGATTTGTGGTGAGGTTGATCACCTGATAGGCAGAGGAGCCATTATACATATTTCATTTCAAAATCTATGTTTGGTCCCCCCCTCTTTCATAATGTAAAGTTTTATTTGCATTGCCTTTCTGGTTCAGGCGATTTCAGAGCTGGCTCATAGGAGGCGGTTTACTAAGAGGCCAGTCAATCACTCACAGTCCACATCAGTCGTGGACAAAATGTAGCCGATAAAAATGTTGAGGCAGGAAAGAAGTTGCTGGAGGCCGGAGCAGCTTCTTCTTTTGTGCTGCTTTTACTTCTAGCTGACGGCAGCAGTGATGGGTCCATCTAATGTAGGACTACTCTTAATTTTGCTACATTTTCCATTCATACCTTTTATAACTTCAGCAGTCTGTAATCTGCATTTTGCTTCATTAACCAAAATGAGCTGTGATCCAGGCTGTGTGCAGTCACACAGTAAACCGCTGGTCCGGCGCTCGTCACAGAGCTGGTAGATGCAAACATTTAGAAAATCAGGCAAACATCTTTTCAGTTTAAGGCTTTATGTTCTACTAATACAACTGAAACCCAGTGAGCCACACCATGGACCTGCAGCCTGCGTTGCACTTTATCAAGCTGGCAAGTGAAAAACTTTCACTTTCTATTAATGGTGCATTAAAAGCGTCTCTGCAGAGCAAATGAAGACTTCACACTGTAACATCTGTCAGACGATCACTGCACTGACTGAGATATATTAAAAGTGTCCTGTTGCTGATCATAGCATCGCTTTGGACATCAGCCTGTTTCTTTTCTTTAATACACATCGGTTACTATGTGTTTTATAGCGATGTCAGTGAGTCCATAAACAGAATGTCGCCGGTGAAACTTTCACTCAGCAGCTACCAGCTGTTATTTATTTTTGAGATGCACAGAGAGAAAATATGGTGGATAAAACATCCTGTTGGGTTTTACGCATGACTCACAGCTTCCTCTGTGTGCAGGTTTACCTGCTTCAACAACGACCTGCTCCGTGTTTCTGCCACAATCATTCTTTGTGTTGTGAAGATTATTTAGATGCTTCAGGAATAATCATATTGTTTTGGCGGCCTGTGCTGCTGCAAAACAAGCGGTCAGGTTGGCTACATGTCCATAATAAAAGGCACAGGTAAAAAGTCGTCTGGGCAGCAAAAGTGATATTTTAAAGTGATCTAGAACCTTCATGTAGATTTAAAAAGGAAAATAATTGTAGAAATAGCTAAATTACAGATAATCAGCTTCTTTACTGCAGGAATATTTTAATGGACTGCTTAAAAAAATAAACTCATCAAGTTGCCTAGTCTAGACATTTTTACTCTGATAGCCATCTTGAACTTTCCTCATGTGGACACATGGGGGCTGTGATCCTGCACAACAAAACATCCCCACACTAGCATGGATAGTATCAGTGCAACGGGTTGCAGAATCCGTGCTATGGATCCCGTCCACACAGAGCGGATTGATTTCAAAGTTTATGATGATTTATCCTGTTTGACCTCAAAATATCCTTTATGCTGGAAATGTCAAAGAACCCAGTCACACCTGCCTGTGTGTTGATTCAGCAGTGATGATATTAAAAGTTGATCTACAGGAGAAACATATCTGAAAGCTGAGAGCTGCTCTGCATTATATTCTGTTTTAGATTTTAAATTGTTTTATTAAACATTTATTTAACCAGAAAAACTCTTTTTCCTAGAGTGTCCTGGCCGAGGCAGGCGGTAGCACAACTGCACATTTAAGATGGGAATAAATGATCAGTTACAAGTTCATAAAATATCGAAATGTTGTTAAATATTCACCACAATTCAGCAACAAGGATGAACAAACCGGTCATCAGTCATAACTAGATCAATGACATTGTAATTTAGCAGCATCAAAATGAGACAGTTAATAGTGTTGTTCTGAGTTTAGAGTAGAGGATGTTTCCTGTCGCTTTACTGCTTTACAGACTTAACTTTGGGGAAGGGGTCAATTCTAATGTGAAGATATGAAGTTTTATGGGCTGGGCTAAAACCCCAATGTTTCAAGAACCTAAAAACGCCCCTGCACTAGATTCACCTTCTGGAATAATTATTACCGGTACGTACATGAGGGAGCTGGATATGATTGGCTACTATATGTCGTTTTTCCATCACCAGTACCAGCTCAACTCGACTCTACTCGACCCTGC